CTTTCGGACTATTATTTTTTAATTCACTCAGCATTTGATGTCAGGGTCTTTTTTTCTGTTAAGTATGCCTGTCAGTGAAACCGATTTATCAGTAGTTACGCATTCCTCCTGTCCACCAAAAGCGGTCTGTTTACTTTCCTCTTATGCTCCCCGATTCCGGTGTGATGTCGCCCGGCCATCTGTCTCATATAGATCTTAATGTAGTCACCGTCCCTGGTTCTTTGCCAGGAAGCGATCCTTCAATGGCACCAGTGCAGAGCGCATAGTGCCCTCTAGAATACAAGCAGCTTTTAGGTGAAAACTGAGAGAAGTCAAAGCTTTCTTTCGGACTATTATTTTTTAATTCACTCAGCATTTGATGTCAGGGTCTTTTTTTCTGTTAAGTATGCCTGTCAGTGAAACCGATTTATCAGTAGTTACGCATTCCTCCTGTCCACCAAAAGCGGTCTGTTTACTTTCCTCTTATGCTCCCCGATTCCGGTGTGATGTCGCCCGGCCATCTGTCTCATATAGATCTTAATGTAGTCACCGTCCCTGGTTCTTTGCCAGGAAGCGATCCTTCAATGGCACCAGTGCAGAGCGCATAGTGTTTCCCCTCTAGAAAGCCACTCTTTTTTTACCGTGTTCAGAATTCTTCGAATGATCTCCTGGTTTATATGAAATAGCAGCCGTCCCAAACCATTATCTTTTGGATTTCGCCATCAGTACCAGCATCCTTCGTAACTGATGTCTAATCAAACTGGTTGGATATCCACTACCCCGAAGTTTGTTCTTTACCTCAGTTTGGACAGCTGTCCGATCAACTTCTGTGCACATGGTCCTTACACGGTTGGACATTGATAAGGCAATACTAGCGAATACTGACTTCGGATGGGCAGACGAGTAGTTCAAAACTGCCCCAGTGTCAGTTGGCTTCTCATATACTGTGATCTTTAGTTTCCCCCGGATCATGCAGTCTAAAGATGCCAGCGTACCCGAGGTTGACTCTATCTCCATACGAAATTTGATGGGAATTCGCCTAGGGCTTTCTGTTCAAATTCTTCCATAAGTATATTTACCAGAACCGGGGATATTAAAGATTTCATTACTGGACATTGTTCTTGAATGGAAACCACGGAGTCAAAAACGAAACGGGCCTTTAAGCCTACCATATTTCATCTACCGTAAGCTGCGTCCGTTCTGAAAGGGTGGTGGTGTCTGGTAGTAGCTATTGCTGGAGTCCCCTTTTGGTAACGAACGAATTGACATCGAAACTTCAAAGGATGTCATCTGGTTCAACGGTGACCCCCGCTACTTTGTTGGCAAAGTCATACTAGATTATCCGGTGAGGGGTTTTAAAATACCGACCAAGAATCTGGCCAGCTCATGCGGTGGGGCACATATTCCATCTACTGCTATCGGTCTCACCGTGACATCTGGTTTGTGGATTTTCGGTAGACCACAAAGCCCTGGTTGGATTGCACTTTTGGGGTACAATCGATACCCCAGTTACCTTGCTCTCAGTGGTTTACCACGAACCGCACATATCTACCAACTTCAGCTTTACTCCTATTCATCATAGATATAATATTCGCATTATCTATCTGCCGGTAAGGACCCTTAGGTGTTCCTTGACCTTCTGTAGATAATCGCTCTTGTTCATGACAAGAGTGGTCTTACCCTTATCCGCTTTTTCTAGTTGATTGAAAACAGCTCAGTAACGACTTTACTCCTCTCGGTTTTCCTTATTGACATCCAGGGTAAACTACACACGAACGGACACTGAAGTCCGAGATATTGGCACCACAGTTAGCCGTGACATCTCGAGAAGTCTAAATGACCAACGAGCTTATTGTCGGACAAGCGTAACAACTAATGAACTCGTTTTCACGCCGGGTTGGTTCCCAAACGTAATTTAGGGTAATCGTTCGTCTTCCTCTAAGACTCCTACAAACCAGATGCTACTTTAAACGTCAAGTGACTGCTCATACCTTTCGTGACAAACTGAAGATAAAAGCCGACTGCGAACAGTATTGGCAAAGGCACTTGATTTACTCCACTTTAGTCCCACGGTTTCGTACCAACAGATTCCAACAGTATTTCGGCCGCTGTGCTGGGCAAGGTGAATATGGACATTGTGCCAGTCCTATTAATACCGCCTTGCACAATACTAGTGTTTACTTTGAGGTTTTTTGAAGTTGAGGATAGCTCGCCCTTAACGATTTCGTTTCAGGCAATTAGATCTATTTGTTCCTTGTATCCAACCCTTTTTTCGATTCAACCTCTGATCATGGTAGCATAGGCATCACTGATCAACAACAGCAGTGACCAATGCAAGACTAGGGTTTCGAAGCTAGTTTGATAAGGGAGCAATCGTGGAAAAACCTGGTAATGACTACGAGATAATTATCGGACCAGTTACATGGTATTTATCAGAAGGCGTAGTAAACCTGTCACGCAGCTGGCACCATAAGGATCACCATTTTGCCGCGAGCATCCATCTGCTGCCGCTAAGCTATCACGGTACACGAACAAACAAATCTATGGACATTATAGTTCCTAATAGTCGCACCGATGGGAAGTAAAGGTAGGAACTGAAAAAGACCCTAACATCCTTCAAAAATAGTTTAGCATTTGAGAGGTTATTCGTTTTTCTAGTGAATGCCTCCAGCTGAGCGCCTCAATTTCGCCAGTGGAAACTCTCGAACACCGAACGGAAGTTCGAGGACTTAGTATACCTGATGGACTGCAAAATGGATGAACGGTAGTGGACCGCCCAGGGTCTTTAACGACCGCATTGAGAAGTGTTTTGATATCATGAATATCGTCTCATGTGAAATGTGAGACAGCCTTTGTACACCACATTCAGTTGAAAAATATTATGCACTGGCATACCAAAGGCGAACTAAAAACATTCAGTTTAGTGAAGTCCTTTGCGGGTTCCCGTCATCAGCTTCTTACATATATATGGATAAATCTAAGCCGATCATATCGATGTTCATTCAATTAAAAAACAATATCAGACAATATGTTACAAGAATCAGGGACACAACTAAAGGCACATTGAGGATCGGATTGTATGTGGTCAGTTCATGAATCGGGGTCACGAGGGTTGATCGATTGTCCTGATCAATGATAACATGGTCCACATGTCTAGGCAATAGTAAGCAAGTGACTTGAATGCAAGAGTCATGTTCGTGATTCCTGGCTGTCCCAGTCTGTTATAGCTGGAAACTTAATGCTGGATGATGGTGACAGTAAACGCTATTGTAGAACCTAGTCGGTCGACTGCGGGTTTATCATACCGTTAGTCAGTCGCTTGAGCCAGACGGTCTGCTCTTCAGATACGAATCTCTCTGGGGACTCAAAAGATGTACACTGCGAATGAGTTCCAATGAGAATGAAACAGCTGTACAGAGCTCTTAGCTTAGACATAAAAATAGCTGGCGCAGAACAAAGAGACCCAGCGGCAACCCCGTCAAATTGGCGCCATTAGTTGATGTGACAAAAAACTGCACATACTTGATATGGCGCAGAAGCTTCTTAAGTTGGGTTACTGGGAGTGAATTCAGAGACATTCACTGGGCAGTTTTTGGGCACTTGCATATTCAAGGCCTATATCCGGCAACTGCTTGATGTACCAGTCTGAGAATCGCGATACTGTCTCACGGGGAGTTGTACACATCAAGTTGGATGTACGTGTTTGTGAACCTTAGACAGACCATGTATACCAGTAGGTCTCATGTGCTCAAACTGGCCTTCCGCGATGTATCGTTTTTCTACTAGGTCTTGAGTTTGACCTGTTTTTCTACTTTTTGTTCGGTCTTTTCCGTTAGACGGCAGTGGGAATCTAATGTCCGGTGAAATATCCATCTTGGAATTAATGTCCTAACGACTTCGTAACACTCCACCATACCTTTTCTCCGGTTTGCGCATAATCAGTTAATTTTTCTTTCCCGACTGACAAAGAGCGTCCCGATGTTCTCAATTGATCGATTTGTCATTTTAACCGATCGATATCGGCTAGTGAAAACATGATTTTACTGCTTCTAAATTTGACACACTGTTTGTGTGCCCAGGATTTCAAACTTCTACGCATTCAACCAATCACAACCGGAAAAACACACCGAAATTTCACGAATAGCGGAAAAATTCTACCTGGATAGTATGCAACACAACAGCAGGAAAATTGTTTACATACTGACTTGGGTCTGTTAGCAGTCGTCTTTGAGTAGGCTTCTTATCGAATGTTTCTGAAAATTTCAAAGTTTTCCACCTTCAGTTATTGGATACTTAATTCACATGCTTCTCAATCAAAAGGGCTATACTTATACCCTAACCAAGCCATACCCGGGTAACACAGGAAGTTGTACTGCTACTCGTAAAACAACCTGGAGAGCCGTAAAAGTGGCTTACCTATAAGTGACGACGATTGGCTTTTTATAAGACCCTTGTAAGGAGTACCAATGGATAATTTCGACTGCTTCAGGTTTATATATATATATATATATATATATGCATACCTGTGACATTCATATAATCCTAATACCACTAGCGATGTCTGTGTCACAAGTGGTATGAGCGGACTAGATTTTCCGGTTTGAAGGAGGGAATTCACTGCGGGTCCTCCATCTGGGACTTTCGATCAATGAATGGCACTCCCAGAGCACGGTGACCGAGGATTTATTGAAGACGCTTATAGTATGAGAATACCAAAAGAAGCTTGTTTGCAGTTACACCTCCCCCTATTACCAGTAGGAAGGGCGTCTCTCTATTCGCAACCTGGGGACGCGCATGCAGATGGGAAGCTCCATGTTACCTCGTGTATTCCGTGTACCTGGATACTGTGTGCAAACTGAAAATGAATGTTAAACGTGTTTTAAGACACCATTACAAGAAAGCAACGGCCGGCGATCCGGGTCAAAATGTTCTCATGCAATGCATGTCCACTCCGCTCTCAAGACCCAGGAGATTGCGCTGCGGTTCCATTCACAAATGTTGATCAGTGAGTCTGTCAACACAAAAAATAATATAATGGATAGAGATGATTCTTCAATGCACTTAATTCGTGTAGACTAGCTGGACATCAAAGTTAAATAGAAGTGAGCGTAGGAGACAAAAAACGGGATGTAGACATTCGATACCAACGAAGCAGGTCAACAGAGCAGTCACCTTTTAAGATCAATAACCAGGGAAATCTATATGGTACAGAGAAGGGAAATCAAAAGTAAGGTGGGATAAAACCAATCAAATGGACAATATGCATGAGAACATAGCACGAAGGGACTGATGCGGTGAATACTGATCACAACAGGGCAATGGAACAAGTTTCGTTGATGCAGATCGTCAGAGGTTTCGCATTTTGCAAGGCCTATAGTTGCGGTCGATTACCTTATCCTGAAGAAACATGTGCAAACAGCGCTCGTTTTGTGCCAAAGGATGTCCCGCAACCCTGGTGGGTGGAAAAGAACGTGTGATTCGATCAAAACAGGTTGAACAAATAACAGAGATAACGGATGTCAGTCATGTCGGTCATTATCAAAAGGTAATTGGCTTCATGAGGGTCAGTGTGCGGTAAAAATGGTGTGTTGATGCCCAGGAAATGCGCGATTCGCCAAACAGTAAGATAGCTTGTTGATAGTGCGAGATTTGAGAATTCGGAATATTTGGTCATGCGTACTGAAAAGCCAAGAATACTGTACCTTCATGAGGGTCAGTGTGCGGTAAAAATGGTGTGTTGATGCCCAGGAAATGCGCGATTCGCCAAACAGTAAGATAGCTTGTTGATAGTGCGAGATTTGAGAATTCGGAATATTTGGTCATGCGTACTGAAAAGCCAAGAAATACTGTACAGCTGTTTGAACCTTAGTGGGAATTATCAGTGGTGCAAATCTCACGAAACTCCTGGGAATCAGCATGAACATTCACGAAGAAAACGGCCCAACTTCCGTACCCACAAAATAGCGCTCCGGAATATCGCCGAACGACTATCATTCGAACGGCTGAACTGTAAGGCCACCATTTTATACAGCTACAGTAGTCATAACCAGACATGTTTTGAAAGTCATAAAGACAGACAAACCACCTTCAGAGTGTAATAGAAGGCCAAACGACCAATGACCGTGATCCCTCGTGTAAGCCATTTCAGTGAGAGTCGACAGCATAAGTATCATAAAGAAACAGTGAAGCAGTGTACATCTGATGCGTAAACTAAGCGATAAAGCTGGAGGATTGTTGCATATAACAACATTGTACTCCAGGAACATATTCTATAAGAGAAAAATTAATCCGTAAGGTAGTCGCAGAGGCTTAATCCTCTCAGACCACAAAGATCTAAGACTATTCTGCGCATGTTAGCGATATGGTGATATGGGTAATATGTGTTGGATCCAACACAGACCGCTCCCCAGTGGACCAACTCTACGGTCTTTCGGTGTCGCACTAAGTTCGGTCTCACAGAACAACCGTAGAAGAAGTCAGGGCAAGGCTTTGTTCGCGCATGCCCATAAAGTTGGGATAGGTCGGTTGGGAATGCAGCAAAGAGCCTATTGATGCAAAAACAGTACAATGACCGGGTTTCGGATTACAAAACGAACATATGGATGCGAATTCACGGTGTGCAAACAAGAGGTAGACCAAATTACTTGTTGATAAAACCTTCCAATCCCTTTCGACGCTCCTCAATGAAGTCGTCATCGAAAATGCCTTCATCCGCCCTGAAAGGTAGCTGACGCTTCCACGCTTTGCCGGGAAGTCGAGGCACAACGATCTAAAAGCAAGTCAATACAAATATGAAGCAGTGTGGCACAAGCTGAAACATTGGATTTCCACAACAGGAAAAACGTAACTTCTGACTGAATAGTGTCTCTGAACTCTGATTTATAAAAAACGCTTTCCTTGGACTAGCAGTTGATACGAATTAAAATGTCGACTTGCGTTCTACTCAGTAACGCCGTGAAACCACAATAAGCCACCTAATAATAATAATAACAATAAATCAGCTGTAATATCCCTTTGATGTATTGTTGCCATGCAACCCGAAGGAAGCACAACGACTAAGATAATTCCAGGTCGGCCGAGCACCCGAGATGCCGACGTTGGTTTCGAGCCATGATATTCACACTGTCGTAAGCTTATTGGCCGGTAAAGGTATGGCAAACATGAAACCAGTTCCATCATACAATGCACCCAGTTCTTTCGACCAACGTCTCATTCACGAACGGTAGTGGACAGCAGTCCTGCTCTATTGTACTGTAGGACCACCCAGAAACTAGATCTCAGCAAAGCTTGGACAGTAACATCTCTATTCGTCATACCTACGAGGCGAATAACGATCAAATTAAAGAGCTATCAGCAGTAGTAGTAGTGCGTTCCATCAAGACGATCCAGTTTCAACTTCTTTTGTGCTCTAGACACGTGATGGCAATAAATCCAGTCGCAAAATCACCGTCTGATTTGGGGGGATGGTGATAACGAGCGGGGATGCTCAAATAACAAAAGATGTGTGGGAGCAAGCCGTTACCGTCGCTTTAGTGAACCTCCGCATCCGAAGCATGAGACAGTGACAGTGTGAGAAAAGGTCCCGTTTTCCATAACTAGCGATATCTATCAAAATAAATACACCAAACTCGGCTAATACTGTTAGTATAGGCTTTGTTCCTGAACACTATGTGAACAAGCTAATAGTGAGGTGCTGAAGCCGTGATTTTCAACGAAGCGCATAGTGACACCGGTAGTTTCCCTCCACTGTTCAAATTGGACCTGGTCGTGAAATATTCCGTGTTGGACAGTCTGCATCATCAGTTAGTGACAATCTCTTCAACCAAAAAATTTGGTTCTGTTTCAAAAGCGGCGAACTACTTACTTATCATGTTGATTAAGCATACATAGAATTATCTGCCGGATGCATATCGATAACTTTCGCACCATCAAGGCAACGATAGTTTTTGGAATAACAAAGAATCAGGCGATTTCACGGTAACCAACGAAATACCGGATGCTTCCTTTTGTGTAGGCTCAATCGCTTTGGAGGGAATAGCCCGCTTTATCTGAGAAAAACGGTTACGCGGACGTTAAGTAGTTGTTGTATGGGCGAGGGACTGAGAAAGCAGTGGTTGGTACTGAATTAAAATGAAGAACTTGATACTTGATGGCCTATGATACCCGTTTATTTTTGCCAGGCTCGCGTCCACTGCTATGATTGTTCGATGTAATCATGTACACAAGTCGTCAGGATAATCGTACACTTACTGGCTTTGTTGATTTAGGGGAATATGGCTTAAGGCGCTAAAGTTTTAATATAACGGACGGAGCTACAAACACCCCTTCCGGCCAAAAGGTACTGCTCTACGGCGTGTGCAGTGTGCATTTTATACGTTGCAGCCGGACGTGGGGTAGCGGGGGGACGCTATGGCGAAGGTTTCAATACCGAAGTAATTTGTGGAAGCCTGCAAGCGCCAGTAGGCGAAAATGATGTTATAGCCAATACCAGCACAGCAACAGTACACTATGGAATGCAACTATAAAACAAAAATCCTGGTTACTATTACATTCAGGACGAACGAGAGACGGACACGACTTTTACGGAAGTTATATTTATCAGAAAACGAATGTGGCTATGCTACTGTGCTAGATTTGCTGGTGTTGGGTAGCGAATAATCCACTTCTATATGTATCTTTACATGTTTACAGACCCGTGCGATACATATACAAGTGCCTTATTCGCTACCCATCCATTCATTTCTCATGGCGTTTTCTAGATTCATCAATCGACGAGGAACTCCAAGGGAGGTGTACAGTGACAGAGGCACCAATTTTATTGGGGCAGAAACGGAGTTGAACCAACTCTTGAAGACGTTGGATTGCAACAAAGTGAAGGACGATATGTCACGACGACAATTTGATTGGTACATTAATCCCCCTTATGCTAGCCGCAGAGGTGGCATCTGGGAGAGGATGATACGATCGATTCGATGTGTTCTAAGCGCAGTTTCTCGGGAGCAGATGTTAACAGAAGAATTGCTGATAACATATCTGACGGAAGTACAACGAATACTGAACAATCGCCCATTGGTCCCTGTGCTAGATGATCTCGATAACATTGATGCATTGACCACGAACCATCTATTGCTACCATGAGTATTATTTGTGAAACCGTCGAAACAGGCGATTTCCAGGAAAGAGAACGCGAAACGTTCTAAGAGGTGCTTCGGGGATCCTCATTACCGTAATTATCCACATAGGTACCGATAATATATGTGTCCATATCGTGTCCAGCATCGACCATCTCTACATGTCCAGTAAGCACAGCCATATGCAGTGGAGTTTGATCATCTTTCGCTTTAGCATCTACAGCTGCACCGTGAAAGATGAGGGCGCGAGCCACTTCAACTTGACGATTTCGCGCGGCAAGATGGAGCGCAGTTTCGCTTCGCATCGCAGCTTGATTCACATAGGACCATTCTGCAACAGAAGCTAAACGATTTCTGGACCACCAATTAAGGCAGCTACGTGGTGGAGGCAGGCCGGACTCTGTACCCATGTCGATTTGAGCTCCATAGCGAAGTAGTTCAACCAAACGAATCTTGTTTCTTACAGGCAATATGCAACGGAGTAAAGCCATTCAGTGCTCGAGCATTCGCGTCACAGCGGTCTTGCAATAGGATACGGGCTACTTCACGATTGCCGCAGAGGGAAGCCACATGAAGTGGAGTCAACAGATCCCTAGTCTTTTCTTCGACACTTGCCCCACGCAAGATGGGAACATGGGCCACCTCTTCATTATTTCCCTGTGCGCTCATACGCAGTGGTGTAAGGCCATTCCTAGTTTTGGCTGAAGGATTAGCTCCAGCATCGATCAACAGCGAGGCAAGCTCAGCATGTCCAGATCGTGCAGCGGAGTAAGACCATCTCGCGTGCGACAGTCTACTACAGCTCCCGTGGCTATCAACAGTCGGACCATTTCAATACGTCTCCATTTGGAGGCAATATGAAGTGGAGTGATGTTGTTTTTGGCCTGATAACTGACATCTGCGCCTCGATCGAGCAAGGGTCGGGCCACGTTTACATTACCATAGTGCGCAGCGATGTGCAGCGGGGTGAAACCATACTGAACCTGATGATTCACGTTCACCTCGGGGTTGTTCAACAGCAGAGCGACTGAGTTCACGTCGTCCTTTCGGGTAGCGAGATGCAAGGCTGGCATTCTTCCACGACTCCTGGAATCCCGTTCCAACAAAAGGGCAACGAGACGTTCGTGTCCTTGTTGGAGACCTACAGCCAGTGGAGTGAAACCATCTTCTGTCGTCAATGCCTGGTTCGCCCCACGTTTGAGGAGCAGGTCTACCACCGCCAAATGATTCTCCTGAGCAACCAAATACAGCGGGGTGAAACCGATCACTGACTGGCAATTTACATTGGCCCTATCGTCAAACAGAACTTGCAACACCTGAGGATGACCTGCAAGACTAGCTATGTGTAGTGCCGTATTTCCAATAGGATACGGGCTACTTCATGAATGTCGCAATGGGAAGCCACATGAAGTGGACTCAACAGATCCCCAGTCTTGTCTTCGACGATCGTAATGTCGGGAGTGTCAGATATACCCGATGAACCACGATCGCAATTGTGCGTAACGAATCCCCGTTTAGAGTGAAGGTAGCTGTACCGTGCTAAATGTCACTTCCAAACCAGTGATCTCTGAAAAACAATGGAACGTTGCTGTTTACGACGAAGACGATGAGGCAGTGAAAAATGAATGTCCTTAGAACTAAGGTATTTTAGAACTAAAATCAGAAAAGTGTTCAAAGTATCCAATGGCTTACAGAGATTCCTATAAATAATTAAGTTGAAGTGAACCGCGAATGTGCGCTGTCTCGTGAAACAGGAATGTAACTAATTCGCGTTTGTGTCCGACTTGTAATTGGTGTAGGCCTATGATCGACCCATCGCTGCGTCCATCAGACTATATCCATCTGAAGTATACACGCAAGTTGGTACGATGAAATTCAGAAAATTAAGGAGCGCTCTAGTTTTCAGTGTTAGCACCACATTTTCATCTTTTTGAGGAATCATTTGTAGGCAATTAAAAGTATTATTTTCATAGAGTGATAGAAACATCGTATTTATTTATATAAAAAATATTTGAAAAATCATCAATACGAGGCATCAGCTAATGCAGGACCGGACCACCAATTGCAACACCACCGAAGTCCTGTCGATACGATTATCTCTACCGTATACAGAGAAGTCAAGACGTTCAGATACTGGAATTTTCCTCTAAAATGTAATCACACGAAAAATGTAGTGCCTCGCGATAGGCACTACTGCTAAAATAGAAGAGAGACGAGGAACATTTTGCTGGAACTTAGCAGGATGTCTACGACCTCGAAATAATGGCTCGAAACGCCGTTGTGAAAAGGATCCAGAATGTCCAAACATTAACGGACAATTTTTGTAGACAAGATTGTCCAGACATAGGCGTAAAGGAGTGCCTTCATGTCATCTTAGAAGAGCCTTCCGTGTGTGGAGTCACTTCCCTACGTCTGCATTTGGCCTCGTTGTTGTACCCATGGAGTTTCAGGGTCTCTAGTTACCTCGCGGTTTCCTCTTTTATGAGCAGAGAGAGGTGCTCATTAGTCAGTAACCGGCCGTGGGAAAGAACCGAGTGCACTTACTGCAGATAGTAGTCTTATAAATTATTGTGACCATATGTTAATTTTTGTGGGATTGAAGAAATACCAAATGGTTGATTTGCTACACTTAGTTGGTCGCTTGAAAATAATCGGCGTTCTGGCAGACCGGTTGCAGATGTGACTGTATAGACTGTACAGATTGTGAATGTCCACCCGTATGACCTGAAACCAAACGTCATCACCAGACTTCACGGTAATTTCTGATACTCGATCGAAATGGACTTGAATGTTGATTTTATCTACTTCTTCCATGTTAGTCATTGCTTCGAGCCCGTGCTTTCGGGTGGGTGGATTGAGTGTCTGTAAGCTAAAGGATATTTTGGCGAAGTCACTGCAGAACCTGAATATTTCGCTCCTGGGCTTGTAGTCGCAGAATAAGGTGCTAAGTTTCTTTACCCTATTTAATGGATGGACAATCCACGATAATTTTCGAACTTGACTCGGAAAGCCTATCCGAAATATTTTGCGCTTCGAAGCACGAGCTCATCTACCACGAGATATCAGTGTTCCACCAGTTGTTGGCTTGCTCGGCGAGCATGGGAACTGCTTCGTAAACGTTGTCACCGTTCGAGGGCAAATCACTGGTGCCATGACAAGGCCTCCCAGGGTGATAACGAAACGTTTGCAAATGAAACACCAAGCTCGGTGAACAAATCAACCATACAACGGTAACTCAGAAACATAGCAAACAGGTAAAGTGTTAAAAAAAACTAAAAGTTCTAGTAAGCAACTTACTTTACTTTCGCGATCGAGCTCATTACGTAGCCATTCGAAGTCGCTATAACGCCGCCGAACAGATGACTCTTTTAAGGCGAAAATCGGTAAATTAGTCTGTAAACCAGGTATCATCACTGAAAAATTAATTACCCGAACATTAACCTCATAGTCCGTATACCTGTTCTTCCCCTCACCGTGAGTTAGAGGACGACAAACGTCTATTTCCAAAAAGTTTGCCGGTGGTGAGTACGCATCCTCAATAGTTTGACGTCTGGGAGCGAGTCGCTGTGTCGCCGAATTAACCGAAGGTTGTTCAAGCATAGAGGGTAGGTTAGGCCAACAAGTGATAGTTGTACAACGTTAACAGATTGTACGTGCTTCGCCAGACGAAAGGACTTCAAACTCTGCGGGATCACACGAAAACCTGAAATATTACGAGTAGATCACAGACTCAAAGAAGGGGCGACCATACATGGCTCATTAGGTTTGACGACTGTGAACCTATGTACCGCATCTTGTGGCAGTGAATGGAGCATGGAGGAGAATGGATCGCGGGACCATAAAACAAATGAGCTGACCACAAAAAAGTGATTGAGTAGATAAAACAGCCCTGACCACGTGACACCACCAAGTCGAATGATACCTCCAAAGATCAATGAAACAGAACACTATTAACCCTGTCGCAAATCGCGCGGCTAAAAACCACTATCAGCTAAAACCACTAAAAACCACTATAACGTGTAAGCAAGGGCGCCATGCGCAAGCTGGTACGCGACAACGAAGTAAAATCGTTAGAGTATATTAGACTGCGACTTTGATGTTCACGCATCCTCATCAATTTGTATCTTTCTTTATGGTTGTACGGCAGCAAAGCATCGGTGTGGAACACTGATGTTGTGAAATTGATGAAGATGCAGATAGTGTCTAATAAGTGCCTGAGGCTTAAGCTTTCCGTACTGTCGACCTTCGAAGACTGGAAGTATTTGATCACTATTACTTGAGAAAAATGCTCAAAACACGTCAGAACGACAGGGTATCTAGTGATGGTGTCACAGACGATATGGTACTCCACATCTCTCCAAACTGATCCTGCAACGCAGATGACAGTGACTGGAACATGTCCTCCCAGAACCACTCTCCTTGTCATCATCATCATGATCTACAGCATGACATCAATGTTCAACACTGATGCTTCCCTGTCGTACAACCATGATTTACTTGAAGAATCGTAGAATCGTTCAGCTCTAACACCTTTTCGGTGCCTAACTGCCATGTCACCAGAAGTAAGCATGAGGGCTGAGATACTGCCACGTTGCCCAAACCTAGACAGGGGAAGTCGAAAAGCAGAGGTCGGGTTCGAACCACGGACCTTCTGGTCAGTAAATCCGCGCTCAACCGCTTGAGCCACCTCGCCCCATGATCTACTTGAAGGCCTCATTGTGAAGAAAAGGAGAAAGTGGATCAAGATAAAAAAAGAGGACGAGGATGAGATTCAGTGCAAGCCTATGACAATCATCCTAGTGGCTACACCTCCAGACATTGACTCAGGTAATCTGGATAGAAACTGACAACACGAGCGCCATTGACGTAGATTAGCAGACATATGTTGCAGCATCTCCAACCGGGCACAGTGGGGACTACGCGAACCCCCTCTTGGTAGGCGAATGGCACCGACAGCACCCAAACGTTTCGTAATCTCTTTCATATCCCTCTGCTAAGCCAAGGGTTGGCCACCTCTCTGCTTCCAATGCTCTGAGTTGGGCATAGAATACAGCACTCTCTTCTGCCAGGCCTGAATGCTTCTTGCTGCTCTCCAGTTGGTGTTTCACGAAACATCCTAAGGCAACGAAATACAAGTGACAAAAAAAGTCTCGCTGCGACCGGGGTCAAGCTGATCTCATTTTGGTTCCATATTCACTATGAGCCCCGTTTTGAAAACAGGCGCTACCATCGACTCTCCCTAGTTGTCTGGGACCACCTTCCCAACACGCAGGTAGACAGACCAGAGAAGCGCTGACTGAGGATTTCACCGCCATCTTTGAACAATGCAGGTGGGAGGTCATCCAGACCGGAAGCTCGGTGGTGTTTGAGAGAACATATGCAGTCGTAAACCGCTGAGGTCTTATGTGGTTCCGTGTTCACCGTCCAGGGTCCTTCGTCAACTTTGGGCTTCAGATGACAGCTGGTGATCATGATAAATGTTCGAAGTATAGGGCCAAACCATCAAGGCATTCTTCTTTATTGAAGACGATCATTCCATTCGGGTGCTTGATGGTTTCGCTCACAGGTAGTTTCCGAGGATCGGTCACACGGATAACTGAAAATAACCTTCGGGCATTCCAGGCTTTCTGGGCCTCCTCCATTTGCTCGGCTTTCCGCGCCCACCAGACGTCATGGTCGGATTGTCCGCTAACTTTCACATGACGTCTGCTAATTCGTCATATCAGGTTATATTCGGGACCGGCTGGAATATTTCTTCGAGATTTAAATAGTGCCACTTTTCGGTCTGATATTCGGCGCTTAAGTGGGTCTGGTATAGTCGTACCACAAGCAAAACTCCCAGAGCTCTGCAAGGAGCTGGCGATTTCGTACCAGTATGAATTAAATCTGCTGGTGGAGCAGTTGGAAGAGACCAGATGATTCTGGTAAATTCATCTAACATCCGGATCCGTCCATCTCCCACTGTAACACCCTTTCGGTGCCTAGCTGCCATGCTACCCGAAGGAGGCACAATGGCTTGGATACTGCCAGGTTGCTCAAGCCTAGACGGAGGACGTCGAGAGGCAGAAGTCGGGTTCGAACCACGGACCTTCCGGTCAGCAAATTCGATCTCTAACCACTTGAGCCATCTCACTCTCATGAGTTAGATAAGGTCAACCGTGAAGGCCGCACACTCCGATCGTCCAACCGCTGAACGTGACCGGCAACCCATTATTCAATTCGGTCGAAATGCTTTTAAATTCAAGGAGTCTGATACTACTCAAAAGGCATCTGCAGCGCGCAGCCGCATCAGGAAGAGATAGTGATGCCTTACACTCTGCAACCTCAAGTTAGGCCAACCTGCAGCCGAGCAGGTCAATCTATTGAGTAATCGGTTCCGGACAGGGCCTCAATAAAAAACCACACCTTCCGCCACCCCATGGACCAGCATTTTGACTCAGAGGCTCGGGGCAGGGTCCCCGAACAAAACTCTACGTCCTCCCACTGCCCTGTTGGACAGGCTTTCACGTCAAAGGTTCATGGTGGGGTAGCTTAACCGAACCCTCTTCCTCGGCCTGGGCAACCAGGAAATATCATTTTATCATACAGTTATGTGTCCACCAATGTCACTCCACACCTCCTTCGAACTACACAAGCAAACGTCGTTGGGTCATTTAATCGATGGGCGTTATGCAACCCGCTGCCTGTTAACAAAAATCAACAAGACCCTTTCTACATAGCTTTCAACGTCCGTACTCTATGTCAAACTCACAAACAAGCTATCCTCGCTGAAGCCTTATACTCCCTTAAAATCGATGTATTTTGTGTCTCCGAAGTACGCATACAGAGTAGTTATACATCGTGGAATATATGGTGTCGGAGTTGCATTCAGCCCCGGAGCTGAACGTGCTTTGCTGGATTGGATCCCAGTGAACAGTCGTCTTTGCGCCATCCGGTTATTTAGCTCACTAAAGTTCAATGCCTCTTGACATAAAATGCGCTGTCTGTAGTTCCTGCTTATGCCTCAACTGACTGTAGTTTTGATGCTGAAAATGAGTGTATTTCTCGAAAGCAGTCCAATTTGGGTTCAAGCAGAGCATAAGGTCGACGGAAACTCGGGGACTGTGCCTGCCTGATGAGCCCCAAGAAGGGCGGAACCGGTCGTAGGCTGTCAAATAGTTTTCAGCAACCTTGTGAGTAGTTTCCTTTATGAAAAAGGACACTTTCTATCGAGAGTTATCTTCGCCAAGCGCACTGACATTTTGATCCTTTCGGGCGATATGAATACCTTGGAATTACATCAAAGCGGCCAATTCGGCTGGTCTCCTGCAACATCGTGTGGAGATAAAGCATATGGGCGAATGGAGTGCAAGCCTTAAACGCCGGTCAGCGGAAATAAGGTATGAAATATCCGTATTGAAACGTGAAAAGGAACCAGGACCGGACGGTCTGTATCCAGCCCACTTCAAAGAAGGCGGAGAATCCCTGGTGATCCCTCGGACAAAGGTTATTAGTGCAATATGAAACGAAGAGAAAGTGCCTGCAGAATAAGGCACGTCGACAGCTATTCCTATCCTCCGTCCTGCAAGAGGTTGCATCGATCGTATCTTCACCCTCCGACAGATTCTGAAACAGCGACACTGCTTCCAGCAGCCATCAATGGTTGTATTTCTTGATCTGAAAGCTTCTTTTGACTCTGTGGAACGTCAGACACTATTGCAGTGCTTGTGGAGCAAAGGTGTCCCCCATAAATTCTTGGCACTCCTTAAGGTGCTGTGCACCAAATCCCACGAACTCGTGAAGGACTACAGGAAGCTTGCGCCTGAGTTCACTACATCAAGTGGTTAGGCAGAGCTGTTGACTTTCACCTTTACTCTTCGACTTCGTCACTGATAAGATTATAGGAGACTCACTAGCAGCCTCTAATACCTGTGGGCCTGCCTCAAAAGGCAGAGGTCGGGTTCGAACCACGGACCTTCCGGTCAATAAACTCGCGCTCTAACTAGTTGGTCCATCTCGCCCCCTCTTGGATCTAGTGCCTTGGTAATGCAAACGATATTAAATAATCTTAACAACTCTGCCTCACGGTTTGCCTTGCGCTTTGTACCTGTGTAAAGCACCACTGCAAGACTGAGTGGGCTCGAACCCTAACCTCATGCTTGCGGATGGGCCACTCGGGGTAGCAGACAAGCTTGTCTACCTGGGCGGCTGCATCAGTCCAGGTGAGCCCACAAAAGATAATATTTCCATCCGGATCGGGAAGGCCGGCGGAGCATCACATGCGCCGTAGGGATGACATCAGCTTATCCGTCAAGGGTCAAGTTCACAATGCTGCGATCCATATTACTGTACAGGTCAAAAACCTGACTGCCACCAGCCGAGGACATCAAAACACTATCAGTGTCTGACCATCGATGTCTTCGGAGCATTGGCCGAGTCTGGTAGGAATACCGCATCAGTAATGCTGAAGTAGGTCAAATGGCTTTCAGAAGAAATAACTTACCCAGGATAGATGAACTGGTCACACTGTATAGGTTACGCTGGCGTGGTCACGTGCTCCGTATTTGAGTCGACTGACTTCCTCAAAGTTTTTTTTCGCACAACCACGCGAAGAGTGGACACGAACCTAGGGAGGTCAAATAATGGCTTGGCAGCAAAGAATGAAAGCCAGTACCAGTAAACTCAGCTGCGCTGGTCATTGCCATCTCCCTGGATGGAGACCCCGAG